CCCCCCCCCCCCCCGTCTCTCTAAGTCATATTCCACCCACTGACCTCCCCCACCTCTCATTCTGCTCCTTGGCTATGAATCCTCAACTGTGTTTGCTATATTCAGAGTTGAGCCTGACCTCTCTCCCATATTGTGGATAGTTTTAATGTCTATTGCAAGAATCCTGAATAAGTCTTCTTTACCATTTAAAAAAGTCAGAAAAATTTTTTCTTTCACAAAACTCAGTGGTCATTGGAGCATCCTGGCAAGAGATGGAAGAATGGGAGATCTGGGTATTTATTCCCCCAGAGCCCTTGGGGGGGTCCATCACTCAAGTGAAGGCCTCAGCTCCTGTCAGAAGGTCCTCTCTGTCTGCCATAGACTGCTCCCCTCCTGCTCCTTCAGGTTTACAGTTACTCATGGAGGCTCATTGTTACCAGTCGGGGGACACCACACTATTTCTACAGGATGAACTTTTTGATCTTCCCTGGAAGCAGATCTAATAAGCTCATATGAAAGGTGCCCTCCCTATACCTGGAGGAAAGGATTTTCCTTATCTCTGAAGACAAAGGACAAAGAGGGGAATCTGAATGAACAGCCCTTGTTAAATGTCACCTAGGTTACTAGGCTTCCCTTACGCTCCTTGCCCTATTATATTCATTGAACCCCACATGAAAATACCCAGGGTTGAGTTTTTCAGTGTGGCTTCATGTCCTTATGAAGGCTCATATGTCACATAAAACTCACATTAAATAATTTTGTACATTATTTAATTATTTGTACACTTTAATTATTTAATTATTTGTACACTTTTCCCCCAGTTAATCTGCTTTGTCAGTTTCATTTTCAGACCCAGTCATGTCTGAAGAGGTCTAAAATGGATAAAGAAAACTTTTTCCTCCTGTATATAGGAGAATCAGATTTTAAGAGAACAGAAAATTAATTGAAGCCTGGCCAGTGTTGCTCGGTGGTTGAGTGTCGACCTGTGAACCAGGAGGTCACGGTTAGATTCCTGGTCAGGGAACATGCACAAGTTGCAGGCTTGATCCCCAGTGGGGGCCGTGAAAGAGGCAGCTGATCAGTGATCCTCCCTCATCATTGATGTTTCTATCTCTTTCCTTTTCCCTTCCTCTCTCTGAAAGCAATAAAAACATTTTTTAATTAATTAATAGATGGAAAGAATGGATTGCATGAATTGAAGAGCAATTGAATGGCATCAATTTGAAGAAAAATTGCATAGACTACAAAAATTAATCCTACTTTTCAGCCTTTATGCTAGAGAGACACTCATAGGCATACACATGAAGGCCTGTGCAGGAATGTTTATTTCAATGCTGATTTTGGTAACAAATGAATAGGAGTAATTCAAATGTGAGTCAATAAATTAATGGTGATATAAACCATAGGTTATTATGCCAGTTAAAATTAATCTATCTCTATGTGCTAATATGGAAAGACCTTCAATATGTGTTTCTGAGTAAAAAAAATAAATTACAAAAAAAGTTATAGTATGATACTGAGTCAGGATAATAAGAAGCTAGAAAAATTTATTGGCAAGTGGAATGGAGAAACTGAGATAGATGGCTAACTCAAACTGGCCCTATCCAGCACCCTAACTCACCTGCCTAATCTCCCTTGCAGGATCACTGGCTAAAGTATTAAGCCCTCATGACAATTAGGTTCTGATTAGCATCAAATAATCTTAGGAACAAAGTCCTAGGTCTATTGGCTATAGAGATAGAGTTTTGGTTAAACTAGGGATAACATCTGGGCCTCATTTGTGTTTCAGCTCCCGCCCAGAAAAGCAACTAAACTAGATGAAGAGAGCCATGGCTGACATTAGGACCAGCTGCAATGA